CCAGTAGAAAGATCGCACTTGGTCCCATCCCGCGTAAAAGAGATTAAATTCTCTTACCGAAAAGGGACCACCGAACGAACGTCTGAATAACCAGCGTAATAGCGACTCAGTCGTTTACCTGCTTTTCAGACCTGTCAGTTCGTTCGACCCGATTCCAAACGCCACGAGACGTTTAACTTCGGGATAATAAAAGATAGTTGTTGCGCCCTTCCGTCGACTCATCCTTCCCCGAGTCTGGACGTAACAGATTGGATATAGAAATAACAAAAATATATATGAAAATATTAATCTATTTTATGCTCAAATAGATATTTAATAATATTTATAATTCAAGAAAGAAAAATTATCTTAAAAACGTTAATATTGAAGAAATGCTATCTCTTTGAAATCCAGAGCATGCAGTGGCACGCAGTTCACACTAGAACACAGGGTCTCTAGTTCACATGTACGTTGCTTGCGCATGTGTGCGGCTTTCGTAAAATATCTTAAATAGCACGCTTGCTAGAGATTTTAGAGATATCTATGAAGAGATATCATAAAGAGCTCTTGTGAAAGATATCTTACAAAAAGATAACTTACTGATATCATTTCTAAGAAAATTTAATTAAAGGCTGGTTTATGCAGGCCGTAACTGTTAATTTATGCCGGAACCGTTAAAGTTTAACACTAGGATTACAATGCTTTTGTTCATAATGGCATTATAATCCTTTGGAAATTTTTATTTCAGATCGGGCACGCCAAGTATTTGTATGTCACTTTAATTTTATGCCCGTATCAGACTACGCATTGAAAATTGAAGATTGAAGATTAAAGATTAGAATTTGACTAATCAGAACAAAAGGGACTAAAATTTCTTTGTCCTGATTGGTCAAATTTTAATCTTGAATCTTGAATGTCAATCTTCAATGCGTAGTCTGATACGGGCTTTAATCTAACCGAGCTTGGTGAAATTGGCCCTAAATAACTCTCGCGCATGGACCACGCATGGACTACACCATCTCGAGAGCTGAGGCAGCTCATGCGCTTTCATGCGCTGCACAACATGGCGCGGCGTTAAGGTGCCTTTACATGGCAGCATTAAGGTGCCATTACATGGCAGCGTTAAGCGTCGAGCGTCTGCGTAGAAAATTGCGCAGAATCTAATTTCAGCCTAGAATCTATCTCTTTTAAATTCTGCGCATTTTTCTGCGCAGACGCTCGACGCTTAATGCTGCCATGTAAAGGTGCCATTATGGTGGGAGACCGTTCCCATGCGCGCATGAACTGCGCATGGATTGAAAGGGAACGATCTCGTGCGCTTCTATGCGCATCATGCGAGAAACGGAACGCACCCTGTGTCTATGGGTTTATCTCTAATAAGGTGCCTTTACATGGCAGCATTAAGGTGCCTTTACATGGCAGCATTAAGCGTCGAGCGTCTGCGCAGAAAAATGCGCAGAATTTAAAAGAGATAGATTCTAGGCTGAAATTAGATTCTGCGCAATTTTCTACGCAGACGCTCGACGCTTGACACTGCCATGTAAAGGCACCTATACGCTACGTTTTTATTATCATATATCTACTTGTTTGTATCGTTAAAAAAATATGTCAAGATTAATTTACATCATTCTTTTAACATTTTTCGCCAGCAGCTTGTGCGAAGAACAATTCTGCTCGGCGGACAATACTAAGTTCTGTAAAAAGAACGAGATTGATCACCAAAAATTATCATATACAAAAGGTATATATTGTGTATTTATAATTTTCACAATATATCAACAAAGTTGGATAAAAATTAACTGCAATAATACCGAAATATTTAAGACGATATAATATAAGATAATATAAAATCCAGTTTGCTCTTTTCCTATTAGCAACGAATGAGGGATATCAAAAATATCTAACAGTGATTCAAGATGCAGAACGAGACTATAAAGAATGTAATAATACAAAGAACTCATGCTTTAGAGATGTCATCATACACGACTTGAGCCCTTTTAAAAAGGGCATAAGTGAAGAAATGATAGTTGCTGCAAAAATCAGGTGTTTATAGTATCTTGATTTATATTGATGAGATAAAGTATTGATCTCTTCTGTCTTTTATTTATACTAAACTCTATTGTAATCGCAGGGGTACATTTTATCAAATAATTGGAGGAAAATTGTATAGAGAAAAAGACTGTATGTTTCCAACCAGATGTGCTGGAATAGAACATTTTCTATTAAAAGTAATTGATAATTTATCAGATATGGATTTAATAATAAATATCAGAGATTATCCCCAATCCAGTGAATATTTTGGTAATGCAATGCCTATTTTTTCGTTTAGTAAGGTGAGAGGTTTTGTTATTTATTATCTATTCTGACTCTTGTTACAAGCAAACATATTTATGCACTTAAGTTATATTTGTCTACTGTTATGAAAGTTGAGCAGCTTGCAAAATGTATTTATAGACATCGCAATATTATGATATTATGTATCCAGCATGGGCATTTTGGGAAGGTGGTCCAGCTATCTCATTATATCCTCGTGGTCTTGGCAGATGGGATCGACATCGTAAACTCTTAAATAAGGCAAGCTCAGAGATACCATGGGAAAAAAAAGAAAATAAAGGATTCTTTCGTGGTTCTAGAACAAGTTTGGAACGTGATAACTTGGTTTTATTAAGCCGTAATAAATCTCATTTGGTGGATGCTCAATATACTAAAAATCAGGCATGGAAATCTAACGAGGTATAGTAATATCTTGTTATATATATTTATCAAATTATGCATATTAGCAGAATATTACATCATTATATAAACTTAACATTATTTTAGGATACTTTGCATGCAGCACCAGTGTCAGAAGTGTCTTTGGAGTCACATTGTACATATAAATACTTGTTTAATTATCGAGGTGTGGCAGCTTCATTTAGACATAAACATCTGTTTTTATGCCGTTCGTTAGTTTTTCATGTGGGTGACGAATGGACTGAATTTTACTATTATGCCATGAAACCTTGGATTCATTATATACCTGTTTCTAAAAATGTAGATCAAAAAGAATTAGAGTAAGATATTTAAATATTCAATTATATATGCCTATAGTCCTATCCTCACCTTTATTAAGTTATCATGACTAATATATTTTATTTTGTTTTGTTATGTTTTCAGAAATTTGATTGAATTTGCAAAGAATAATGATGATTTAGCGAAAAAGATTGCATATCGCGGTAGAGATTTTATATGGAATAATTTACGAATGTCGGACGTTATATATTTTTGGAAACAGCTTCTTAAAAGTTATGGTAAGCTTTTAACATATAAGCCAGTATTAAAGAAAAATCTCGTACAAATCGAAAAAAAATAATAAATACACTTAGGGTTATTTTGTATAACCAATAGTTTTTTTTAATAAGTCAGCGTATTATAAACAAAGAGTATAAATTTTTTAATGCTGAATACAATATCTAATTAAAAACATGTATACAATAGTTAAAATAAACATACATATTTATTAATGCTCTATTTGTATGATAATGAAAAATATAATACAATAGAGATTTTATTCAGGGCACAACACAATGGGGTGGCAAGTTTCAATGTGAATCATTAACACCCTGAAGTAGAATAATAATATAAAGAAAAACCTTGTACATGCATATAATTAAATTCAGATATCGTGTAGTTGATACCATGTTATTAAGCAATATATATAACTAATAATTTAATTAATTTAAAACAAATGCAAATTGTTTTCTTTTTATCTCTCTTTACAGAGATTCTTTTATTCAACAAATAAAAGGATAAAAAGTACAAGGTTTTTCTTGCTTCTTTAATCTGTTAATATAATATACTTAAAGGCTAAGAGTAATTCTTAACAATTAAGTACTGGTCAAAATACTTACAATATTATTACTAAGACACTTTCAAATGTAAGAAAATATATAATACAAGTATATTAACATCTGTTTTAAACATCTGTTAACACTGGTTACAGTTTTTGACATATATCTCCTTCTCTTGGACTATCTTTTTTTCTCTATTAGAGAAGAGAGAGAGATAACATTATATGTTTCGCAAAACATAGTTTAAAGTGCACTTTCATTTTGCAAGATTGAGAATTTAACGCTTTATACATAAAAACTTTATATATATAAATTCTCACACACAGAGCACCATTAATGTCAGAGAAATCCATCTAACACAATTTGCATTAATTATTTATAATACCAGCTCTATAATACATACATACATTTATATATAATTGCATATAAAACCATAAGATAAAGCTATTATTGGGAGAAACCATGATGGAAGCATTATATGAAAACAGGTGTTCTCTTCAAACCTACACAGTGTTGCCTAATTGACATTGCTGATATATAGGTAACCAGATACTTGGTTTGAGCCAACATTTAAAAAAAAGCTGCATTTGGACAGATGAGACAGATCTGACATTTACATATCTTCTCTCTAATGTATAAATTACAAAAATATTTCTAAGGCACATAAGATAACAATTACCCTAGCATAATTGTAACATAATGTAGTTGACATGAGTACTATGGATATTCATATACGTATAAATATGGATAGAGCACGCAAATGATTAGACATTGGATAAAATAGATTAGACGTTGAAAAAATAATATGTATACAAAATATAACTGAGATGTGTGTGTGCTATACGCAGCTCTATACAGAAAATATATTTTAGAATACAAATAAAAATAGAAAAATCTATAATACCCATGCAACACTTTTTAATCAACAAATTCGATAGTATTGTCAGTCAGGACTCTGATCATTACTTTTTATTATTAATTGTCATGCTCTCGCAAAATATCGTATATATTCTTTATACATCACGTGATCTAATGGAACTGTCGAGTCCCAAGAAACCCGTAAACATTCAAAGTCTTTGCAAATGGTGGATACACGAATAAATAGGCAGTGTAGAATGTCCTGTGCTACATATTACTGCGTATTAAAACATTATTCGAAGATGGAATATAATATATATTCGCGCGTATACATATTTTGCACTGGCAATTTATAAGACGTGTGTGTGCAAATTAAAATACGCGCTATACACAGCTGCGCGAATCATTTTCAATCAATGCGCTTGCGCAGCCACGCGCATGTGCAGTTCAACGGTTTAGCTGGCGATGACATTGCTCGTAATTTTCTAGCTATCTACTTAATATTTTAATTATCGAGAGCGAGGGGAGCGCAAGTTTCTAAATCGTCGCATTAATAACGATTCCGACCGCGTCATTAGCACGGCAGATACATTTTTCGGAGCAGCACTCGTGTATCTTCGCTAAAAAAAAAAAAACTTGAGACCCTATAACAATTATTATAGGGTCTCTACCTTTTATGTAGCTATTACGAACCTCGCGATGATAACTGTCGCGATGCCAAGCAGAAGTTGCGACATCATCGTTGATGGAGTCAACGAATTTTCAGACGCCCCGGAGTCCGCACTACCGTGATTCGGCGACGTGACGAGTTCGTCGGTTCCTCCTGTCGAGTTCAAATTGGAATCGTAGTATGTAGTTTCGCGCGTAGTGACGTCGTCAACCGTCATTGGACGGCGCGCCGCATCGATCGTGCGCATGCGCGTATTTGAGAGCGCGAAACTGCGCGGATCAAACAGTGCGCGCGGTGCGTACAGTGACGGTCGTTTTGCTCTCGTTGCCGCTGCCAGTTGCCATTGTTGTTTGGAACTATATATCTGATCTTTCTGCGCGTAAATAATCGAGATTTTGGCACGTGTACCAGTCGTGGGACGTGCCGCTTCGATCGCTCACTTTTTCCCGAATTCGGAATGTACATTGTTGTCGTCTGGAAAAGGCGATTGCTCCCGGTTAATGCGGGTAGTTGATCGTCTTGACTTAAGAGGTAAACCTCCTTAAATTTTATAAACTATCATGTTGTTATTTACTTACATCAATGCTGGTTAGTACGATGTGAATTATCCTTATTTTATATTGTCAATGCACGCGTGGATACAAACAGTTAAATTTATATATCGGACAATAATTGGATATATAAAAAGCAGATAAGAAAAATTCAACATCCGATATAACTGTTAGATATTTTAAACTCAAATTTTTTACTTATTAATATTATAAAGATGGTCGAGTATATAAAAGTACAATTATAAAATATTTTGAAGGTAGAAAGTATGTCAGAGGTACATCGATTGAGATCATTGTTCAAAGAAAGTCATTTCATTGGAAAACTTTTGATACACCAAATACGTGAATATCAATATATGAATTGTTTAGTATATTATAATTATATACATACATTATATATTCCAGATAGCAAGCACATGTCATTTAAACATCAAATAACGTCATTTGATGACATCAAATGACGTCAAACGATATTATTTTGACGATAAATGACGTGTATTAGCTATCTGGGATACATGCATTCATTTATATATATACATATATATGTATATACATATATACATCAGTTGCATGAATTATTTTTTATATTATTTTTTTATATTATACTTATCATGTATTTGGTCAAACAAAATATGTATATTTAAATAAATCGAAATAAAAACGTGAACATAGTATAAAAGTAACTAGGATTCTAAATACAAAAATAAATACAAAAATATGTATCAAATTTTTAAAAGAAAGATATTTTAAATCGCTTTTCTCAGAAATTTTTAAATAATAATCGATAATAAAATCGGAAATAATTGAAATAAGAAACACATTGCCAAAAGAAAGCATACAGAATCGATAGGAAAATTTAAATTATTAAAATTATATCGTGCATTTTCCCTCTACCCGTTTAATGAATTGCAGGTTAAAGAGAAAAGGGAGAGATTGTGCAACTCATGATGCATGCCGTGTTTCCAGAGCATTAAATCTCAACAAACACGTTGAACATTCGAGAAAATAGCAAAAAGGTATGTATTAAAAAAAGTAAAATTATATAACGCGTGCGTGTACAAAAAGAATTTGTGCAGGTAAAATATGAAAAAAAAATAAATAAAATAAAAAAAATTTTTTTAAAAGAACGGATAAAAATTAGGATTGGAGGGTAGAAACTTTCTGTAAGTGTCAGTATATTGTTAGATTAGGAGGGACAAGTCGAAAACCTTTATGTTCTTATGCAATATTAAGTTCCAAACAACGCAACTGCCAGTGGCAATGATTACTCATGCACCACATCTTATTTCATATTTGTGTGCAAGTGTGTGCACTGTGTATTCTTGTGTATATGCATTTCAAAATAAGTTGGTGCTAAGGCGGTGTAACTTTGATTAACTATTCGCTACATGTGTCGATCAAGTTGTGAGCGATGATGCAAAATAAAGGGAAAGGTTCATGCAACACAAATGATATTTTTATAATATATAATACTACTTCTCCTCTAATATAAAATAAAAACCACGTGTAGAAGAGACGGAGACAGAGTATGTAAAGAGAAAAAAGAAGCATAGTACGCCACAACCCCACAATTATAATGTGCTAATAAAAGCCGTTCGTGTAAATGAGACGAAAATAAAAAAAAAAGAGAAAACGTGAAGAAAAAATCTTATTTATACAATATTTACTCTTATCTTGTCAAACTGGATGTGGCGACGATGACACAAGCTGAGCTTTCACGCGATCATCGTTAACTTTTCGATGTTGATATTTTCAAAAATAAAACTCTGTTTTCATCCGCCGCCTGGCTAATAAATACTCTGGGCTTTGGCGTAATCATAACGCTGCGAGGTTATCAACAATGTGTGAAAATATTAGATTTGTGTCGCGAGAGAATTATTATATATGAGCAGTAAAACATGATTTTAATAGATTCAAAATAACGAATCTTTAATCTGTGAAACCATAATAATATGATGATGATATAATTTGATAAATAGCGATTAAATGATTAACATATAATAGTGATAAAAATGATTATGATGTTGGTAAGTTAATGTTTTATATACAATAAATATAGCGTATTAATAATAAGCGATAAATAATCTCCGTAAAATTAATTAATACTAATTAATACTATTTGTACTTTTCAATTGGTTATTTATCTCTGATATATTCTATTCATTATATAAATAGCTATCACTATATATTAGAATTCGCAAAATAATGCTATGAATATTTTTATATGTAGACCAACCGTGTGTAAGCATTTTACTATGTTCTTCAATGTTTTAAATAATTTCGTAATTTCCAATGTATCGAAATATGTGTGTGTGTGTGTGTGTGTATTCCCTCTTGAATTATGATACGTTTGCTAATGTTCGCGAAATACTTTTCACACTATGCAGCAATATTATCTGTTGCGTCACATCAGATTTTAGCGATCTGTGACTTGATAAAACACACGAGATGTGAAAGAGCCACCATGAAATCATGAATCGTGATATTCGTAATATATAATATTGGAGGATATACATGTTACGAAACATCTTTTAATTCCATTCTATCGGTTTGTTCTAACATTTTGTGTTATATATATCTGAATTAGCTATTGTGTTCAACTCACAGTCATTGAAGATTTAAATCTGATATTTTTTTTAGAAAAGTATTGCGTGCACGTGTCTCTTTTCGCGATTTAGCCCTAGTATCATAGTAGCCAGGTGCACGAGAAAATCTTTTTAATATCGCGTTTCCTGCCTGCCTCTGTATTAGGGGAATTATTGTACTTTCAGTTTCGTTCACATTGATTATTTTCAACAAAGTAAAACGAGCGGAACAAACTACTAGGTATCCACTGTCGCGAGATTCTCTGGGGCATTAATTTACAGGAAGTGCAATTCATGCAGATTCGCGGAAATTAGATTCGCGGAAGTTATTCATCTCGTTATTCTTCGAATATTCTTATTACGTATTGATTATTTTTTAACAAGAATTTATAATTATGATACAGTAATAATTACGCGCATCGATGAAAGATAAAATTTGTAATATAGAGTATAAGAAAAAAAGATATAAAAACATTTATATTTTCTAAATTAGATTAGAAGAGATTCTCAACAAACGATATATTTATTTTCAGATGAACGTTGTAGCGGATAATGGATATCTTCAAATTTCTTTTGAGGCTAGGCAGGATTTGAAAAATTTTGTACCTGCGTCTAAGATGATGTCGCCAACGCTGTCAAGATTATCATAATCGTTGTGCGTGTCACTGTCAGCCACGTCCAGATTGCCAAATGCAAACGGCCAGTGATCATTACCTAGCGTCCCTCTATTAGCGGACTTGCATCCAAACCACCAATACGCCGTCGCTCTTGGGAAGGCGGGATTAGCATCGTCCACCTGGTAAGTCGAAAATAATTGTTTTTATCTTTATTCCATATAAACAATATGTTGTGTAATTTTGAGCGTACTAGTGTGGAAGATATAGGACAAAAAGAGAAAGAGAGAGACAAAGAGAGAAAGAGAGAGCGTGTATTATTACAGCGCTATTGTCATGTTACTGTGCTCTAGATTGCATCAAATTTAATACAACTTCTTTTAATACAGATACATTAGATACAGATATATTGCCATAGAGCAGTTGGAAATAATAGAAATTTAATTTAAAATTTTTGATTTTTATATGTACTTACCTTGAACGTTCGATCGTTGAATCGATAGTAGGCGTTATCTTGGAAGAAATACGTGTAACCTTTGTAAGTTACTGCCGCGTTGATGTGATTCGGGATGCCTTGCCAGTTTTGGATAAGTTTAGGATAATTACTCCTCACTGGTGGCTTCGACGCCGGATCAAAGCGCCAAAATTTCGCGCCCTTGTAGAAATAAATCTTGCCGTTTCCGGTCCACACGGTAGCCGCATCGATGTGATCAGGAATACCGGTGAAACCGTCGCTAATTTCCTTCGGATAATCACCATCCATAGTCGTATTAATATACCTCCAGTATTGCGTACCCTGAAATGACAAACAGTTGTCGGCGAATAAGTTAGAGTGAACAAAATTTTTAGTATAACACACACACACACACACACACACACACACACAAAACATGTATAAGTAAACGGTATAAGTTTGTATATTCATCTTAGCTTCTCGATAAGTAGTTACCTTGAAGAAATAAGTCTTGCCATTTCTGTATGTAAATGCAGCGTCTATGTTTGAAGGAAGCTCTTTCCATGCGCTATCAATGCGTCTAGGATAACCACTAGCTACACCATTGTCTGTTAATTTCCAATAGTGTTTTCCTGCAATTTCCATATAATATTAAGTATTCCTATTTGTTCGGTAAGATTCAAACGCCAGCAATTTAAAAATTGTAGCTCGTGTACATACCCTTGAACACAATCGTCTCGCCATCCTTGGTATTGAACATT